ACAGGGCAAGACCTGGTCAAATGCTTACCTAATGGCTGGGCTCTTGTGTCATACTGTTGTGATAGGTACTTGTTTTGTTAGATGCTGTCCACCCCCAAAATGTTTTTAAGTTTCTATCCAAAACATGCACAATCCTCCCAACGCCCATCAGAATTAACAACTCTTCCCTAGTGGAAGAGACGGCTGAGTAATAGTAAATTTATATATTCCTGATTTTTTTTAAATACAATAAAGTTCTCTGATTAAGATGATTAGACTCTGCTAATAAGGAGAGCATTGAAAGTTTAAACTGATTTGCAACTGTAATTGCATGGGTATCTTACTGCAGGTAATTTAGCATAGCATATTCCACACTCCAGTCTAACTGCAGCTCTACAGACAGAATTTGGGATTTTTCTCTAGTGCAGCTAAAGAAAGGGACTATTACAGGTCTACTGAAGGAAAGAATGATGCCTTCCAAAGTCTTGTCTTTCTGCTACTGTTTTTGAAGTGAGGAAGCTGAGGTGCTTCCTCACAAATAAAGAAGGGAAAGCTGAGATACTGCTATCTTATCTGTTTCTCTTTAACTGTATATATTAAACAGCTCAGTTACACTGCACAGAGGCTTGCTTCCTCTTAGTCCAAAATAATTTTTGAGGATATAGCTTGGGCTAGAAAACTCTGAGGTTTCTCTGGAACCTTTTAAAAAAGGTAAGACCAGATGCGTTGAAAATGATAGGAAGTAGATTGAGCTATTTTCAACAAGGCAGGTAAACTAGATTAAATGGAAGAACATCAAAGGCTTCTACGGTCACAAAACCTGGGATGGTAAAGGTTAGAATACTAACCTGATAAGATTATTATCACTTTTAAGGTTTTTAGGGTTCAGAAAATTACTTTTTCTCTTTTAGAGAGCACTCAAAAATTGTTCATGCTAGTTGACATTTCCTATTATCAGGTGGATTTAACAGGGAGCTATTAGTCTATCATTGCTGATATTTGTTTTTTAGAAAAGCTTTCAGTATATGCATTTGTAAATAGCTCCATATAGTATACAAGTTTTGCAAACATTTATAGCATTGCCCAAAGCCAAACAACAAGATTTGTATAAGGCCTGGAGTTGCAGTTAGTTTGCCTCAATCTAAAAAAAGGTGTAAAGGTTTGGAAATGTCTCCTATTCTTCTAATATTTTTGCAATAATCTTTTCCAGAATTCAACTTGGGGTAACACTTTATAGATAGTAAAATAGGTGAAAGGATTTGAGAACAACAGATTAATTATTTCTCATTATTTAAAAAAACCCAGTAACTACCACCAAAAGACTTTTCTAAAGCCTCAAAAAGATGGAACAGAACCAAACTTATTTTTAAGCATGCTTGGTTAGTAATTTGCATGATTGGAGAGTCTTACATCCAGCAGCTTGCTGGAGATATTATGCACAATATTTTGTCAAATGACTTTATTTTCATTTATTGCAAATTTATGGCAATTTTATTTCTGTTGGATAATATAGTCTCTGATGACTAAAAATAAATGCTTGTTCTGAAAGCTCACAAAATGACAACACTATGTCAAAATGCTAGTGTCTCAGTTCTAAAAACCTAGCAAAAAAACCCCAGATTGAAGTTAGTATTGGCATCAACATTTGTATATGAAGACAACAAAATGCCAAAGTATTTTTTTGCACTGTTCTATGTAGGGATTTTGCAAGTATTATATCTTTATAAATTATTTACTGAATCATACAGATAAATTGCATGAATAAGTTATATCTGGTCTCTCTTTTATTGCAAGAATTGATAGGACGTTGAAAGAAAGCAGTGAGTCAACTGAAAAGTGGTCTGGAAGCAAAGGTCTTTTACATAAGCAATACCATAACACTAAGGGCTTTGCATTATTTTAGTGAGACTTGATACAGTCTAATATACTGATAGACTGATATACTAATATACTAATGGACTGATAATAGTCCAGTATAATATAGCATGGTCAAAACTGAGGTGAGTCATGTTGACATCCAGTCTATTTTACTCATGCTGAGATACACTCCAATTTGAAATTCTGTCATGGCTATCGAAATTGTACTATTACTTTAAAGGAGTCAGGTTCTTCTACAGCATGCATTAAGGAGATGAAGAAAGCGGAAACATAAGTTTGAGCAATTACTCTGTTGTCACTAAGAGCAAAATGGACATAAGTAATGAAAACCTCTTAAATGTATGATAGACAATATTCTTGGTGGTCAGACACACTTACTAAACATGGCTGTGTCCTGGTCAGTGAAAATACATGAAACTATCCATTTGGGCACATTGTTAAAAACTGTATATAGACTACTTAGTCTTTTTAGGATATCTACATTTGTACTGCAGTATGAAATACAAGAACGTGCTGATAATGGGGAAACCTGTTGCTTTCTCTAAGCGCAGTAATGAGAATTTTAGGAAAACCACCATAAGCAGAAGGATGCAAGATAATTCTTGCTAGTAGAAAGGTGTGTTTCCTGCATTCCTAGTGCTTTTTGATCTTTTGGGAAACAAAAATTACTCATCTTATTTTGATCAAGTTTAAGTTCCCAAAGTGGTACATACATTTCATGGTATTCACAGTAGTGCCTGATTAGTCACATGCTGCTTCTAAAGATAGTAAATAATTAGTATTTCAGAGATCCCTGGTGCCCAATTACTGGTGCAGTGCAGTGCTTCTGGTTGTGTACAACCTGGTAGCTGAAGCAGCAGTCCCTTTATTTGATATATTGTCTGCCCTTCTGTCATCATAGCAGGCAAAGCATAGATTTTTCTGGCATGCTGTCTTTCATTAAAGTAAGTCATAAGGTGTTTTGCAGTTAGGGAATGCATTAAAATGTGTCTTCAGTCAGTGCGGAGCTTAAGTTACAGCAGCCTACAAGCTGCTGTTGCTTTGAACATGCAGAACCAAGGTCCTGTCAAAATGCAGCAGTAGTTATTTGCTGGTACTGTGTCTGGCTCCAAGTATGTCACATCACCAACATTAAAACTAACCATAAACTATGCTACAGATGTGAGTGTTTTTCACTTGGGGCAAAAAAACTTACTTTTTTGCTTAATTTTATCCCATTTTTCAGAAGTGCCTAAGTAATCCAAGTCCTACTAAGGGGACTTAAGGGTTGGGACTTAAGCTTCTAAGTGTCTTATCCAACATTTTTAGAAGTCTGTAACATCCATGTATCCTGATGTCTTTCTGGCAGTTCCTGAAACCCTGTGCTGCTTAGCAGTACAGAAACATGCAGTTTAAACAGAGGCCAAAGTGAGATTGCAGTTCCAGGTATTTGTTTCGTCAGAAAAGGTCTGATGCAGTAGGCAGGCAGAGTAACACAGCAATCTGTATCAATCTTCTCAAGGCAAATTACTTTGTATAGTCCATTGCTTCAGTGAAAAGAAGAAAGGCAAAATTAGTTTGAAAGCCTCCTTTCATAATTTTCCTGTCACCAGTTTCACTAAACTCAGTTCACTACATTCAGCTTTTTTCCATCTCTACTCTAAAATCAGACCTGATTTCTGTCTTGTGTAGTATTTGATTTGTCTTAATCATTCCCGTTTCCTTTGTGCATATTGAACTTTGTGCACTCTGTAATCAGGATGTTTGGTCTGATTTCTAGAAGTGCTGAGCACCTTTGTGTCCTGTCTTCAGTGAAGGAGTGCTGGACAAATTTGTTTAGTTTTACTTTTGAATTGATTGAAATTTCATTCCTACACAGGTTCCAGATTTCACTATTACAGACCTGTCTTCAGAGTCAGATGATGTTCCAGACATTTTGGATTTGGATGAAGAGGATCAACAGGATTTTTCACGCACAAATGGTCCTTACACTACAGGGCAAAGAGCTGAATAGAGAAGCATAAAAATGTCTTTTTGATACAATGTACCTTTGCCATGTTTAATTTAGATTCCTCCTTTTTAAAGATGAACCTGACTAGTTTAGGGATTATGGGGATACTTTTTTAAAAAAATCAGTACTGTTTCACTTAGCTGCATCTAAAATCTGGGTTTTTCAATGTAAGGAACGCACACTAAATTAATTGGTTAGCATGGGTGTCAGGCTTCAATTCTACAAGCCAGATATAGCCTAACCAGTATATCCAACTAATCTGATCTATATTGATGATTTGTTCTCCTGCTGGTAGCAGCCATGAGAACACCCCAGTGCTTTGCATATAGGGCTGCCAACAAAAGGAGTTGATGAGGATTTGCCCACTTTCAGTCTGTGTGAAAAGCAGTGTTGCATCTACCTCTTTGCTGCTGGAAGGGGTAAGACACTTTGTCTATCTCATATTTTCTCAGGTTCTTTTGTTAGGCTCTGCACCTACAGAGCTTAGACGCTTAGAGCTTTCCTTTGGCAAGATTGCTTTATGCACAAAAGGACTTCCTTTCTTTCCACATGCCTTCTGTGTGCAAATATTTTGGCTGTCATGATGCTATCAGTTGTGGCACCTGAGACTAAAGGGAGTAAATGCTTCAGTATTAAAGTGGTTTGGGTATAAGAATAGCATTTAAATAAGAAAGAGGAAGAGATTGTAAAAAGGAGGGAAAAATAGAGTGTAAAGAGAGAAAGATTTCGCACAAAAGAAAATTTGGAACAAAATTGGGAATTGAATGTAAGGAGAGTTCTGGCAACAGTGATTTTTAAAAAATGTTTTAATAAAATCTCAATCAGTTATTTGCTACGGGCTGGTGAGTCTGCATTTGCTCGCTCAGAGTAACTTCTGTAGGAGCTGGGGAGAGCGGGAACGGGACTGGAGACGGAGTTGTTAATTAACATTTCCTCCCGAGGAGCAGGCCGGCGGCGGCCGCGGCGCGCCACACCTGCCTTGTGAGCGCCCGCAAGGCTGGCCGCTGAAATGCCTTGGAATAAAAGTTTGAACCGCACAGCCTGCTTGGAGTGCGAGATTTTCTTGTTAGGGCTAAGTTGTTTTTTTTTTTTTTTTTTCCATTTGTTTTGGTTTTGGGTTTTTTTTTTCTTTGTTTGTTTTTGTTTTGTTTGCGTTTGCTTTTGGGGTTCTTTGGGTTTTGGTTTGGTGGTTTTTGTTTTGTTTTCTTCCCCCTCCCCGCGTAAATTCTGCAATCCGATTACAAAAACGAAGGGTCCTCTGGAGGGATACCGCCACCTGGACTACACCTCCCGTGAGGCAGCGCGTCCGGCTCGCCTCGTCCTCGGACGCGGGTGGCGGACGGGAGATCTCGCGAGGGTCGGGGCGCGGTGCGGGCGGGCTCGCGCGGGAGGTTTTGGCGGGCTCGGGAAGATGGCGGCGTTGGAGCTGTCTTTCCGCTCTGCGCCCAGAGCCGCCGCGTACCCGCAGTGGGAGAGCGACCACCTCTGGATCTGTTTGCTGGCCTTGGGACTCAACCCAAAACGCCACCAGGGCGTAAGACTAGGGAGGTTAGTGCTAGGGAGAGTCGGGGGAGGGCGGAGGCGGGGGGTCCGAGCGGGGTATCGCTCGGGAGCGCGAGGCGGGAGCGTCTCGCCATGGCCACCGAGGGGCCCGGTGCCCCATGCCAAAGAGAGCGCCCGGGAAGTGTCCGCAGTGCCGCCGCAGTCCACATTGCCTCAGACTTTCTGAAGAAATAAAATCCAGGAATGGTGAGAACTCCTGCTCTCCCTCACGGTCCTGTGGGGAAGGCGAGGTTAGGGGCTTCCTAGCTTGTTTTGAAAACTTACCTTGAAAGATAACACTCTTGCCGTAATTGTTTCGTTGCACCGTGACCGTTAGAGGGCTCGAATGGGCCTTAAAGCATCGCACGGAGCCGACCCCGCCCCTCCGCCGCGGGTCAGGATTCTGGCGCCAGACCAGGTTGCTCGAGGCCTTACCCAGCCTGGCCTTAAACACTTCCAGGGTCGGGGCGTCCGCAACCTCTCTGGGCAGCCTTTTCCAGTGTCTCACTACTGTCACAGTAAAGATTTTTTCCCCAAATACCTATATTAAATTTTTCCTCTTTCAACTTGTACCCATTGCTCCTTGTTCCTTCACTACAATTCCTGACGAAAAGTCCCTCTCCAGCTTCCCCGTAGGCCCCCTTCAGATACTGTAAGGTTGCTATAAGGTCTCCAGGTAATCTATTCTCCTGAGCAGCCCCAGCTCTCTCAGTCTTTGTAGGAGAGGTGCTCCAGTCTGCTTTTCAACTTCGTGCCCTTTCTCTGGACTTGATCCAACAGTTCCATGTCCTTGTTAATTTGGAGGCACCAGAGCTGAATGCAGCACTCCAGGTGGGAGGAGGTCTTACAAGAGCAGAACAGAGGGGCAGAATCACCACCTTTGTTCTGTTGGCCACACTGTTTTTGTGGCAGCCCTAGATTTCACCTGTGCTAAATAGGATGAAAAGTGTGTACTTTTACATAGGAAATATAGTGTTCAATTGATTATTCTGTAATGTAACACTGTTTTGTAGTCTTTAGCAGCCAGTAAAAATGCTCTGTTAATTAGTCACCATAACTACTTCTGATGTGAATGTTTATTTGTGTATTAGGGATATGTTTGCTAAACCAAACAGCAAAGCGATTTTTCTCGTTGCCCGCTTCTTGTTTACTAAGCTGGATAAGCACCGTGCAAGACAAACTTTCAAGTAAGTGTTTGGCTTCTGAGATTACTGCTGTGCCCTTAATTAAGGATATGTTCTATGTAGTTTCTGGAGGGGAAGGAAGTGGTTTCTTGGGGAATACTTTGGAAGAAGAACATACAGGCAGAGAATTTGTTTAATTTTGATCACAACTCAGTCAGTTTTGATCAGTCTGAAACCTTGCCTTAATCAGTTGTTTCTGTTGGCAACTTTGATATAAATTTTAATAGCTGATAAATAATATACTTGTCCCATTCTTTCTGACCAAACAGAAAATAACATTTGGTGTTTAGGGATTGTTTCTAGGACCTTCGATATGGCAAGAGCCCTGTGTTCTTTACTGTTTTTATTTTGTATAACAGAACTGTTTCACCTTATGCATTTGAAGACATGGCAGGAGGAGGACCAGTGATAAGAAAATGGTCAGGGTTCTGGCCCTTTTTTTTTTATTTTTCCCCTGTCCCAAGTTTAAAAGAGCTGCAGACAAACATCTCTCTGAAATAATCTGTAATTAACTTAAAAAAAGAAAACGTTGTCATTTGACAAATCTGTTCTTGATCTAGGGTGTATGCACCTTATTTTCTGGCTCAGCATCAATAAGAAATGTGTGTCTTATTCTTGTTTTTACAGTGGTTAATTAGGAATAATATTTGAATGCATTTTGACATGACCTTTTTTTTCCACTTCTTCCCTTTCCTTTTTAAATGAAAAGGCACTCTGGATTCACAAGACTACCAAGTCCTAGATTTAGGAAGCAGTGCTGTCTGTGGCTAAGAGAAATTTCAGTGAGTATTACAAAAAGTGGAAGTTGATGCTCTACTGGTTTCTGCAACCTTATTCTTTTTTTTAAGATAACTGTTTTATATCATAGTTTTAAATAAGGATTTTTTTATCAAAGAATTCACTTTTGCTTTGTATATTCTTTTCATATAGTTTATCTTGGACTTCCATGAAGAAAAGATGTTGGCATTGGGGAGTTTAGAAGACAGAGTCCTAAAGGACTCTTTTAGGACCAGTTGGGTCCTAAACTGCTGTGGCTTGCATTTGGGTAGCAGTATTTGATTAAATGGAAGTCTAGAGAGTCCCTTAGCCCTGGGTGAGAAAAACTTCCTTCAGCTGGAGGGGTGTTTATTTAAGTTGCCTGGAAAGGTGTTTCTTATTGGGAAAGCTGATTCACATGCATAAAAAACTTAATTAGTCTTGTATATGGGAAAGGGGCTAAAATGTAAGGCAAGCTTTTTAAAGACAAAGCAAAACTGATTGCTTCAGGTATCATTGGTTATTATGTTGCTTTCTTATGTTGCCTTTGTTTTAATGATTGTTCTAAAAATCTTGTCCTTATGTTCCTCAACACTTCAATATTTTAGTAATAGTAGATAAGGTGAAAACTAAGGATGCGATATCTTTAAATATGATTAACATGCACTGATTTGTGACTTCAGTAGAAAATAGGAAAGAAAACTTGAATGTGTTTTCAAAGATAGGGGTTAACAGTTAGGAATGAGGAGGGCACCAATTTTTAACATTTATCCAACAGTGATTTCAGTCTTTGCATTGAAACCATCTTGTGTACAGAACTGAGTGAATGTGAACATTGGAAACAGCTTTATACTCTTCTCCTGACTACAGTAGGTGTTAACAGTGATGGGCAAAGTCATTTAGCTTTGTCATCAGGCTTGCTAGTGTATAATCTGCAGCATTTTGGTATGCAGGCAAGTCTTTGATTGCTGTTTTTTATGCTTTACTTCTCAAATTAGTTTTGTGTTTAAAATGATTGTACTTTTCTTGCAGGAAGAGGAAAAAGGTTTTCCACAAATTACACCTTCCACACTGATTTTTTCTTGTGGTGCTAAAGTTGTTCACATGTTCTACTGTTTTGCAAGATACGTAATGATTGAGAACATGAAAAAGCTCTCTGTAGGTGAGCTGTATGGGACAGTAAAAATGCTTCAAATGTTATGTTTGTAAATGTGTAAAATCTTTAATATATGACAGGAGCTTTAAGAAGTTCTTAGTTGGATGCTCAGGTCAGTCTTTCACAGGGTTCTGTGTATTTGCATAGAGCTACCGCTAATAGAACAGTGCAGTTGGTTTTGCTCTCTATTGCTTTATGGTTCTTGTTCCAAGGTTCACCCGTGCAATGCTCTGCACCATTACCCATACAAGCAATGATTTGTATGGTATTGGATGGTTACACTATTTTCTTTCTCGGAACTTGAGGAATTCTGAAGGATCAGATCTGTCTGTTTAGGCATCTTATATTATTGTAACCTAAAGAATATAGAAAGGGAGTGAGGGAATGAAAATGTATACAACAGAAAAAAGGCAAAAGAGGCAGTACACTGCATGCTATCTTTCAGTCGAGGTAAAAATGAGCATCTTGATTTATGATTCTTGCTGTTTGATTTAGGTAGATTAGGACGTTGTCCATTTGCTAAAAGCAAATAATGTAATCCAAATGCTGGCTTCTATTTAGGCACTTGTATACCTTTTGCTGAAGCTGTAACGTGGAGACCTAAGGATATTTACATAGCAAAAGCAAGACACACAGTTGCATACAATAAACTGCTGCAAATTCTTCGAAGGGAAGACTTTGTTTTTCAAGAATATCGGAGAAAAGCGCAGTAAGTATTGCATTAAAAGAAAGTGAGTCTGCATAAAAGCTGACTTGTGTATGTGTTTTGAGAAGGATTTGAAAAGTCTATGTATGCTTTACATCACAGAACTCATTCTGTTGAACTCCTCCCATATTTTCCCCCTTTACTTTCTTTTATCAACAGTTCTACTGCTTGTAGATCTTTTGTGAAGCATAATAGTCTAAAGCAATGAATAATTTAGGAGATGCTGTATGTTACTTGGGCATTAATATTGTCAGGGAATTCTACATGTATATCTACATATCTACAGTATGATTTCTTCTGAAAATACAACATTCGGAAGATGAAACCTTTGGTTTACTTTATTGACTGTGAGACACATTTTATTTGCCTAAACCTTAATTATTTAACCAAAAATATGCAATTCTTAGCTCTTGTTTATGACAAACACTCCCATCTCGAGAAATGTCATGAGCTGGAACTTTCTCTGCAAGCATAGAGTTATGTATCAGCAGAATTTTTAGAATTTGTGTAAGATAGTTTACATGACTGGAGCACTGTCATGGACAGTTGTGAGCTGTTTAGTGAATGTCAGAAAAGGGCGATGGGTTGCGCTGTAGGTAAAAGAGCAGTGTCAGTAGTATATGTGCATGTAGTATAGCTCCATACAAGAGGACCAGCCATGTTTCATGCCTTTGGATGAGGATTTAGCATCTACAGAGACCTTGTAGTGGGTTTCTGCTGACCTTGATTCTTATAGAGGACTTCAGCTTACCCTGGTATTCACTGGGAAAGTAGTTCAGTGGTGTATTAGCGATGTAAGAAACGGGAGTACTGAGAGGATGACTTTGTGATGCAATCATTAAGTGTGCTGAGTAGGAGTGGTACTCTTTTGAACTCGCTGTGTGTGAATGAGAGAAACAACTTCTTTGGAGATGTTACAGATGGTCACTGCAGCCAAGATTGCAGAACTTTAAATGGAAAGGAATGTGAAGAAGACAAGAGGAAAACTGATGACACTGGCCTTCTAATTTGAGTGTATATCACTGGCCTAGGCAACTGTAGGAGGTATCTTGTGGAAAGCAGGAAAGCTTATGGGTGATAGGCTACTTTCAGATAGCCTTGCTGAAGTTCATGTGTGATCCATCTTAAGTCAAAAACCAAACAGGTGCAACAAGGAACCAGCCTGATTAAGGTAGTGTAGCAACATATGGAATATAGAAAAGGGAACTGACTCTTAAGGCACAAGTACAGAAATATTTCTCAGGTGTGCAGTGGTGTATCTAGGATGGCTAAGTTCAGCTAAAGCTCCAAGAGCCTGCTAAGACCTTGAATAAAGAATCTTGTATTATGCCATTAGGAGGTCAAAGTGCATGTAGGATCTGGATCTGCTTCTGAACTAAATGTAAGTTGCAGGTCTCACAGGTTGGGATACCCAGTATGTACCTTGCCTTAGGCTACGTGGGTAAGATCAGTAGCCCAGTCTCTGTGCCAAGAAGCGATGGTGAAAGAAGCAACAAAACACTGATAGCAGAAGAGGGTAAAACAAAGGTTTCACTGCTTTCGTCCAAGAGCACAGGGATGCTTACCTGGCGTTGTTTCAGAATAGATCTGACATATTTGGAAAGACAGAAAGCTAGTTAAATGGGTGAGCCCAAAGGGTGACAGGTGCCTCAAAGTTACTCAAGGTCTGTGAGTGGAGTTCCTATGAGGCTAGTGCTGTGTCTTCTTAAGGAATATGGATGACAGACTTGAAGACAAACCTACCAAATTTGCAGATATTGCCAAACTGCGGAATATACTGCAGTGGGGAAGCATTTCACAGAGAGACCTTGCTGGGTCTAGAGACCTGCACAACAAAAATTTTATGGGGTTTAACAAAAAGGCCAGTGTGAGGTCCTGCACCTGAGAGAGAAAATGTCCCCAACAGCAGCACAGATTTGTGGGTGATAAGCTGTGGAATAGCTCTTTAAGAAGTGAGAGTAGTGTGTGGCCACAAGCTTGAGCATGAGTCAGCAGAGTATCCTGGTAATCAGGACCAGCAGCATGCCATGTTGTATGGGAATGAGCACTGGTCAGCAGATGGTGGGCAATTGTATTATGCATCACTCATTTTTCTTCAGTTTTACTATTTTTTCTCTTTCTCCTTTACATCTGTGTTATAGTATTTTTATTTTGGTTACTAAACTCTTCTTATTTCAGCCCATAAATTTTACCATTTTTCAGATTCTTCCTATTCTGCTGGGGCTGGGGAGGTGGGAAGTGAGTGGGCAGCTGTGTGGTACTTAGTTGCTGGCTGGAGTTGGCAGTTCTGATGCCACATGTGGCATTAGAATGTTCAGTTTTGATCAGCCCACTTGAAGGTAGAGAATGAAAGATGGGAGAGATACTAGCCGAGGATTGCAGTGGATTAGAGGGTTTCAGAGTGTGAAATGTATGAGTAAAAGCTGAGAAATTTGGTTTATTTAGTTTGAAAAATGCAATGCTAGGAGTTTAATCAGAATTTCAGTATCTAAAAAGTAGGTGTAGAGAACATGGAGGTACTCTTCACAAAGATGTGTCCTAAGAGGACAAGGCAGCAGGTGCTTCAGGGAAACTCCATCTGGAAATTTTTAAAAATCTCTTGTGAGAACAATTAAACTGAAAAAGGTTGCCCTCAGAAGTGAAATATTGGAAATATTCAAGACTTGGTTTGACAAGATCATGAGTAGCATAATTAAAGGCTCTGCTTTCAATGGAAGGCTCAAAAATACAATTACTAGAGGTCAAAGTCTTCTGAACATCTCTTATTTTTGTAATTCTATGTCTCCTGTGACCTTGTTTGGGACGTATTACTACTGTTTACCATTGGAGTGGTACCCTTAAAAAATGTAACTCTTTATAGTTTTTTTTTCATTCTTGGCAATGCATCAGAGCTCTGAAGATTATTTTGAATACAGCATGATTTAGGCACCCGGTTTTTCTGAAAATCAGACTGCTACATTTTTACATGCTTAAAAATGCTAACATGTCAATAAAAGCGCTTTAGCAAAACAGCTTGTGTGGTCCAGCTGCTTGTTGTCCAGTATTCTGTTCTCTAGTCTTTTGAAAGTGAGGGATTTGGGTACTGTAGAATTGCTGAATATATCTGTAGTTCACATTGATAATAGATGCTTATTGTTAGTAACTTATTGCTGTTGGGTATAAGAAACAACTGCCTCAGTATGTAGATTTGGAAAGAAAGGACTCGGTTAGTGACTGTAAGCAATTCTGATAAGCTTGTACTAGCTGTTGAATTTTTTCCTAGGGTTTTAATTGGAGAAATAAAGAGGACAAAGTCTGAATATGCAGTTGTGTGCAAGGAGTTTCGCACGTAAGTGCTTTTCTTTGTACCTAAGTTAGGATGTATGAAATAGATTAGATGCTCAGTTTTATGAAATATGAACTGAAATTTCACTGTAGTCCACTTGAACTTTTGTTTTGCATGTGCATATAGGAAGAAACAAAATGACCAAAACAAAAATGACACAACTGAGAGAATCCAAAAGGTGAGCATTTAGTTCCTGCTGTGGCAGTGTGTTGAATTCTAACAGTTCTGCAACACCTACTGTCAGATACTGTTATTTGCACTCATCTACCTATGATTATGCTAGCACTTTCATCTGTCTTCGTGCTGATTTGATACTCTGTCATTATAGGTATTATAACAAACATTTTAACACAGTGTTTTTCTCCTTTTCTATTAAGGTCCGCAGTATGTGGACACTAATAGTGGAAATGCTTACATCTCTGAAAAAGGAAAAGGGAGTTGTGGATTCTGTACTTGAAGACTGTGTTAACCCATGTATTCTAGATGGAACTGATGTTGCTGTGAGTGTTCCAGGGTTGTTAACGTACAGAATTGAAAGTAACATACATGGAGTAAGTGGTTTTTGTCCTTCTTGCTGAATGGCTAAACTGCTTTCATTTAGTCACTGGTGATGTAATTACATGCCTTAAAAATAAAACAAGTACTTAATGGATTATTAGTGATAATTGCAGAAGGATGCATGAAATATGTATAATTCATAGGCAGAGATTTCTTATCATTATAGTGCTAGCTTGTATTTGTTATTCTAACGCATTAACTTTTTCAGTTTAGTAAATACATTGATAAGTTGCCTGATTGTAGTACTTTTTTGTTGTTTAGACATTAAAATTGTGTTGATTGTTTTAACTGGTGCTTTAAGTAATTGGCTTTTGTTTCTATTCTGTAGTATATGGTGTTGTTCATTTATGGCATTGGTATTGTTTGTGTCATATCTTCTGGTGAAGTGGTCAAACAGAATACCTCATTGTTGGAATTTTCTTGGCTTGTATTGCTTTAACCTAGAACGTATTTTTTGAAAAATGAAACTATCAGGACCTGAATCTAAGTATCATGTATACAGTGTCCTGGCTCTGACTACAGGAGACATAACTTTCTGATTTTGGTACTGTTCACTAATTGTTTTTTTTAATTGCTTGCTCTACTTCAAGTTTGTTACAGAAAATTTATATGAAGATGGAAATCTGAATTTCCTAACAGTTATTCAGTTACTAAATGAAGCCCTGAAGACATTGAGCGATGAACACGGTCCATGTGAATTAAAAGAACTTCACAGAATTGAAGACATGGTTACATCCTACAAGAATGCACTACAGGTGTTGAAAACTAAAAGGTAATTGTTAGGAGATTTTCTCTCATTGCTTGTTCTTAAATGGTAGGATCATGTCTACTGGAGTCTTTTTTCTAGAAAAATGTTACAGCAAAAACATGTTGGTTCAGTCTTTTTCTTATGCTTCTGGAAAAATTAATATTTGCTTTAATAATTTGTATAACTTCTTATTGAGATTCTTCTCTAGTTAGTTTCAGCTTTTTGCCTTTGTTTCATTCATATTTTAGTGTTTGTTCCTGGGGATCTCATTTGCTTGCTGATCTGATTTTTGCTTTTTTTTGTCTCGTTGCATTAGTAAATTCTGAGATTTTAAAAACGTTTATCTGTAACTGGCTTACAGAAATTTAAAGTGTTCATTGTGTATATATTTTAGTGTAGTTTTTCCAATTCTGCTGTAAGAAACAAGACTACTTAGCAGCTTTTTTGGTTGTGAATTTCAGTTCTTAGTGTATGCATAAATGCATGAATAAATTGATATATACTGAAGGTTTGTCAGGATAAGGGAGAACATGTAATACTTACCGTCTTTATGTAGAATTGTTATCTCTACCAACAGATGTCTTCATTTTCCATGCTTTTATGTTACAGTCTAAGAAGAAAGCAAGAGCATTATGAGCCAAAGCATCAGTCTATTGCCAAAAAACAGGAAATCTGGGAATCTAAGTGGAAAACAATTCTTGGCCAGTGTCCTTTTAATTTAATCTTTCAAGATGATCTAGTAAGTAGTACTCATTTTATCTGATTCTGGGAAAGAGAAAAAGGTGAAAGTGAGAGAGGATGTAGCTCTATACTAGTGTTTTCTGTTACAACACTTGGGCTTTATCTGTAAGGTTAGGGGACTCACCTAATGCTGTATATCTGATTCAGCTTTAAGAAGTAAGGAGAATAAATGTTTCTTAAAGAGAATACATTTCTTAAAGAGCATACATTTGACTTTATTATAATGATGTATTCACTGGAGATGCCAAGATTGTAGATTAGCTTAAGAGTGAGCAGATTGGTTTTTGTTTTGTTTCTGTCTGTCCCTCTGTGGAAGCTGAGCATTTTGTATGTTCAGTCTGAATATTTGCTGATTTCTGTTTTCCCCTTTTAAAGCAATGTATTTGATGAAGGAATAATAATCTCCATTTTGACACTCACACTGACAGAGGTTATACCCTTATGTAGCTATCCAGCAGAGAGGGGAGAAACTTCATGTTGAGTCTGACAGCTGGTTTGCAGGAAAGTTTTTCTAAATAACTGTGTTAATTGCTGTTGATAAACTGACTTTTTCTGCCTGCTTATGTAACTTTTTATTTTCCTTTTGAAAGACACCTGTTTCACCACTTCAGTCTTTTAGTTCTTCCGATGAAGAGGAAGATAGTGTCTTTTATCAGTCATCTCCAGGTGAGTGAACAGGAGAAACTTCTTTTCCTTCTTCCCCACCACCACAATTGTTAAAAGTTATGTGGAGTCAAAAAGGCTCCCTTCTTGCATTTGCAGATGGTCCTTGATGTGGAAATTGGTTCTGAATGACTCTTTGCCAATATTGCCTTGCATTTCTCAACTTCATAGTATCTTAGAGATTCTCTGAAGCTTGGCAGAAACCCATTGCTTGGCTGTTTTGTTGTTCTTGCACAAAGGATATTGAAACAGATGTCCATGTACAAAGGTTTATTCATGGATTCTAGAGAGTACATTCAGTATAGCAGTAAAGGTTACTTTGGGTTGGAGCAGTAATAGAGAAAGGTAAAACTTTTCCCATTGACTATCTAGGAAAAGAAATTGAATATGGTCTCACACATAACTATCTTTCCCTGATGCACTCTGAAATACTTTATTCCTTAGTAACTGTGCCATTTGGTTAGGACTTCACTTGGTTTGTGTTAGTTGCATTCAGTCATTAGATTAATAGTGTTAAGCACAGCTCACTTTGATCAGGCATGGTTGTTGCACATGCTAATTGGCTGATGGTCTGATGATATTTTACTGTATAACCTCATTTTACTTATTGACCAAGTCTTGTCTGTCACTAGTAACAGAGTTAAAAGTAAAAAGCTACAAAGCAAAGAGGAAGACTGCTTGGATCATGTCACTTGCAGTTCCTGCTAGGAAAAATGGCATAGCAAATGTGTATTGGAATTTCAAGGTGCAAAAAAATGGTGCAAAGATTCTTTTGATTACAAAGATGAAAGTACTGCTCCAGCCATCTGACTGTATGTGGGTCTAAGGCTAGAAGCTGCAGAGGAAAGGCTGCAGAATTGGATTTGGAACATAGTTTGCCTTAAAAATTTAAAAGATTGAAGCACTGTACTATGATATGAGCTGGTACATCAGAAAGCTTGAGACAAATTGATGTCTATGACATTTCCTCTGTGGTTGAGATGCATTATCTGATAATACAGCCATTAAGAAAACTTAACTTCTGCCTGTTAATAGGGTCAAATCCAAAAGCAAAATACCTCACCTAACTACTGGAAGTGAGCTTGGATTTTTGATGTGTTGAGTTGAATATGACTCGTGGAAATGCCATTTGTCCCTGCAGAAGCTGAAATTTAAAATTAGTAGAGAACTACTGAGGTTAAACTTTGGCTGTGTATCCAAGATGTGCCAGAGTTAGTACATTGTTCTAGACAGTCCATGCTTGAGATATGTGTACCCTCCAATAATGTTCAAAACATTTACTTCTGTAACATTTACTTATACAAAGCTTTGCCTTGCTTGGACTGAGGCAGCAAGAGGGATGAGTATATCCACAGAAATATTTATTGATTAACACAGTTGGGATAAAGGTGGGTGGAATTGTGCTTTGTGGAATTGATGTACCGTACAATTGAAGTGTATGTGGAGAGGAGGGGATAATGTTGATGTGTCTGGGACTGTAGTTTGGAGGAAGGTAGAAAATCTGATTGATACGTGCAGGGCAGCAGATAGAATCATGCTTCTTGAACATGTGTTCAGGAGCAAACAGAAAGAGGTGCTACCTGCTAGGGGCATCTGTTACTACAGGTACTGCCTGAGCAAAAGGATTGATAGTACTACTGTGCTTCTGTATTAATTTATTTTTCTTGAAGTGTAAAATCCATCCAGTGTGTAGTGTGCAGAAGTAGTGTGAGTGAGCTGTGTCACAAGGGAACCCTAAGTGAAGAAAATGAAAGCAATACTAAACTTTTGGGTTACTTTTCTAGATAATGATGACTATCATAATGAAGAATGCCATGAGGAATGGGATGAAACCACGATCGATACAACATTAGTACCCTCAATATGGTATGCCTAATGAGAATTTAATAAAAAAGCATTAGAAAAATTAGAAGTTTAGTTACTGGACCTGAATATTTTGCATGACTTGAGTCTTAGTGGAATATTCAGTAGCCCACTCCTTACATCACAACTACTTGCTTTAGCAAGATAGTCCTAAAGTAACTGCTGTTTACTCCAGCTGATGACGGATTGATCAACTGGTTGCTGCTGAATAGGAGGAGTAGCAGTCAAATTGCAAGGTTTTTTCTTGCTTTCTAACTATATTCAAAGATTCAAGAGACAGATGGACAGAACAGAAGCTTTGTTTCTCAGGCTAAACCTTCTCTACAAAGCTTTTTTCATTGCTTTTCTTGAGAGTTACAGTCACATTGTTCTGTAGCTATTCTTCCTACAGTACCAGCAAAGGGTTCTAGGACACAGAACAGTGGCGTCCTGGAAAGTTTTTTTCCTTTTGTCATTTGCTTAGTCCAGGAATATTTCATGACCTTCTGAATAATGCTGTCTTTCATAATACGATTCCTACAAATGTTTGAATGTACCTACTAAGAGACCAAGAAAGTTAGCAAAGGAATGCTCTCCATTCCTAGACATCAGTAGATGTAGTTGCATATAAGTCTCAGAGGCTCTCAGGGTAGTTAACAATTAAATCCTGGGTTTCTTTCAGTAACTTCATGCAGCATGGAGGTTTGTTTGCTTCTGAGGCTACAGACAGGTAACATCAAAAACATTTTATGGTGTGCTTTTCCTAGCAAGTGTGGACTTGAGAGCTCAAGTTGAGAGCAAGTGCACTTTTGAGAGCTATGCAATTGGCATGAAACTTACTAGAAATGATAAAGCTGAAGTTTTTGGTAGCCAGGTGATGGTTAAATACAAAGTTTACATAGGAACAGGCTTGTGGATGCCAGAAATGGTTCAGATAAAGACTACATAGGAAAAAGAATGTTGTCAGGTCTGCAGAAGACTTTCCAGTCATCTTTTACAGTAGAATGTAGAAGACTTGTTTACAAGTGTATTGAAAAATCCCTTCTTTTTATGTGTGCTAATCAGTAGCAGAGTTTATTAATTTACTATTTTTGGGAGGCTGATACACAACTAGAGCTAAAGCTGCTCTAATTGTCACACTGTTCTCCCTATAGTAAAACTGCTTTCTGATGACCGGGACGAATTGAGGGAAATCGTAACGGACAGATACGGAGCACACAGTATATAACAGCCTTCCAAGATTTGCATTCCAGTTGTTTAATTTGTCTCTAAAATTGTTGTGGTTTTTTTTTTTCAGTCTTTCTCCCTTGAGGAGCCCATTGGGGCTGTTGTCGTCAGAAGCATCTGAAAATGAAGACCTGTTAATTGAAAATGTATATGTCTTTGAAATAAGTTAAACTTACAACATGTCCTTTTTATATTGGTTGAAACTTAGACTTTGTGGAAAAGTGTTTTGGGGGTGGTTTCTGGGGACTTTGTTTTGTGAGGTTTTTGGGGTGGTTTTTTGTTGTTTTCGAGCAATATTTTTACACATTTGAGTTAGTCTGGCAAAAATGTAAAATCTAACTCTGACTTTGCTAAGCTTTAGGAAAGAACAGTAGGAAGTAGGTGCTCTTGTATCTGACTTCCTGTATAACATACAGTATGTAACTGATTCTCTGTTTGCTGAACAGTCTTTTTGATGTGGTCAGTGGTCAGACTTGGTTTCTTTAAGTTGTAAATGAAATTTAAGTGTTAAAATGTGTTGAGAAAGCAACTTGGATGTTGCAATTCTCCATTGCACAGCTGTTCACTGTACTGTGATCAGAATTGTTGCAAGTGAGTCATCTGTGTTGTATATAACACCTATCCTAGTCACTACTTAAGTCCTACTTTGAATACAGTTGTAAAACTATTTTGTATTTAGTTAGAATTCAAGACTGAAATGTTTTTGTTGACTGAATACTGGGGCCATTGCAGTTCAGAAATTCCACAGCAGTTTATGCTAATAACCTTTCTTGATTTTAAAATTACTAATAATTTCTGTAGAACTTGAATACTTCTGTGGGAAATAAAAAACCTGTGCCTCAAAAAAACTTAGAAAATGGAAAGGAAGAAATTCCTACTTCAGAAGTGGATGGGAATGCAGATGAAAATGTCACCCAGCCAAAGTCTCCTGTGAAAAAAGATGACCTTCTTGAGAAAGCCAGAGATGAACTGGCCGAAGAGGTTAGGATGTAATTTTCATTTGTTTTTAAGTAAATGATCACAAGTTTGGAGAACAAATCACTAATTATAACAAAAAATGTCTCTTGTAATCCACATACATCAAAAGGTACCTTTTTCTGCTAGATAGTTATCAGTCATGGACTTCTGGTGTGGACTGATAAAATACACATTGAAAGCATGGAGTTTGTGATACTTAAAAATCATGGTGAAGTGAATAGCATGTTCAGTAGAATCATGTTATGATTATACTTAAATCTGTGAAGTACAGTGCATATATTCAGAAAAAAAAAGAACTGTTGTACTCTTAAGTTATACAGGTTAAATATTTAACAAGAACTTGGTAATTTTAGGCAGGAATGTAAGTATTTTTCCTTTTAGATATTCTATTTAATATTTGATTGAGGAATTCCTTTACAAGGATTACTGTAAAATGTGCTACTTCTTATTTTGGAAAGTAAATTGCATTTTTAACTGAAATGATAGTTGATTTTCATCTGCTAAAATTTTTCAAATATATCTCTTAGTCTTCAAGCTTACGCAGTTCTTGGCTACTGTCTTAAATATATTCTATCTGCGCACAGTTTCTTATATGAAAGGTGGATTCATAGATGATGAGTGAACTGAAAATTGAATCTGATTTCAGTCCTGTATCTTTATTTTGTGTTTGTAGGATACTGTGGTCATTATGAACCCTAATAAATAATGGAAGTTAGGATATTCCAAATCCTCCAGATGATTTGGAGAATTAGATTTATTTTTAACCATAACTGATAGAAATGAAGATATTAAAATTTTGATTTTTTAGAATTTGCTGTTCTCTAATATCCTACAGATTGCAAAGTCAGTGATGTCTGAGTCACCTTATAGTGGTGAAGAAAAAGGAATGACACTAGATGGACTCATTAGCTCACTGTGTTTCGACCCATTTTTAACAAGGAAACAAATACCCCGAACTCCAGAAAATCTGCGTGAGTTTGAAATTGTTTTTATAATGCTCATTGATAAAAAATGTGGTTAGTTCATTGACATACCACACAAGAAGAAAAAGCTAATTATTTCAGTGATGTTGCATGTTTTTCTAATGGCTCATTCTAACACAACACCGTAGACTTAATAAGATGTGAATACTTTGAATTTGATTTAAGATATTTTTTTTCTTACGTAGAAACCCCTTTGTGTTGAGGAAACATGAACAACATAAAGCAGTTATACATATTCCCTCTTGAATTTCTTATCTTCCTGAGGGGACAGAAAAAACCAGACTGATTGAAAGTACTAAAATTTTACCTTGGTTTGTTCCATTTAGTTACTGAAGTTAGAAGTTCGTGGAGAAAAGCTATTCAGACTGAGGACTCATTAGACCTAGAGCCGTCCTCTACTGAAGTGGTGGCAGAAGAATCTTCAGTGAACGCTACACTCAGTATGCAGGAGGAGGTGGACTCTACCTTTATGTGCTCTGAACTTGTGTCTCCTGTATCTGACTTGGGTCCTCCTGTATCAGAAAAGAAGTCTCAATTAAATTCTACAGAATCTAGTTCTCAGGAGCAGGTGAGTGTAAGTCATACATTGGAATCTTCAGATTCAAAAATATCTGGAATTCAAGAAACTGAGAGAACTGAATCAGAGGAACAAAATTGTTCTGCTTTGAGTGGAAGTTCTGTAAAAGATCTAAGCCAGACTTTGCAAAATGTAGAGAAGAGCATGAATATTCCAGATACTTGTTTGAAAAGTGGTAGTAGAGCAAATACACTGCCTTCAGACCACAGTTTTCTAATGGATGAGATGCTGTGCTGGAAAGTATCTGCATTAAATTCCATCTGTCATGAAAATGCTGACAGGGGAATATTGGATGAGACACTTCCAGAATCTTATAGTCTGGATCTCAGCATATCTGCAGACTCAGACTCCATTTGTTTTACAATGGACAGTGAAAATACAGTGGATGGCTCAGAAAATAATGAGGATATTAAAAAATCAAACCTAGACACACAACTCCTGTCCAACTCCCATGAAGTGCTAAAAAAGACTGCATCTAAGAGTGAAGAGGAGCTGCATCAAACACATAATGGAAGCAAGTCTCAAAGTTTTAGAGCTAAACTAAATATGTCAGAAGAAGGAGAGGAAAATGAGAATGATCCTTCCATGGATGAAGGATTTACCAAGATGCCATTGCCAAACTCTCTTGATGAAAGCAAACATTCCCTGTCATCTTCCCTGGTGTCTTGTCAACAGAGGGATGGTACATGAAGTCCCATTAGACTTACTACATAAATTGAAGGGTAAGTGTTAGTGTTCTTTATGCATCAAGATTTTGTCCATTCTGGGTATACTCCCATGGATAACCTCTGAGAGTTGGACTGTGCTGTGGAAGTGGAGGGAAACAAATTATTTGTATGCTTGTTTCTCATAGAGGATGAGACATTAAAAAAAAAAAAAAAACAACATGCTTCCTCTAGGTAGGTTTAGGGTTAGGGACTCCTGGTGGATCACAAGCTGTCCATGAGCCATCAGTGCCCCCGTGGCCAGGAGGGCCAATGTCATCCTGGGGTGCACTGGGAAGAGTGTGGCCAGCAGGTCAAGGGAGGTGATCCTCCCCCTCTACTGAGCCCTGGTGAGGCCACAGCTGGAGTGCTGTGTCCAGTTCTGGGCTCCTCAGCATGAGAGAGACAAGGAGCAACTGGAGAGGGTCCAGTGGAGAGCCACAAGGATGATCAGGGGTCTGGAGCTTCTCTCTCATGAGAGACTCTGGGAGCTGGGACTGCTTGGTCTGCAGAAGACTGAGAGGGTATCTCATCAATACATAGAAATATCTTAAAGGTGGATGTCAGTAGGATGGTGCCAAACTCTTTTCAGTGGTGCCCAAAAAAGAGGCAGGGAGCCGTGACCGCAAACTAAAGTACAAGAAGTTCCACTGTAACTTGAGGCAGAACATTTTTACACTGAAGGCGGCAGAGCACTGGAATGCTGCCTGGAGAGTCTCCCTCTGCCTGGAGTGTCTCCCTCTGCCTGGAGTGTCTCCCTCTCTGGAGACACTCAAAACCCACCTGGGCACATTTCTGTGTCACCTGCTCACCAGAAGTCCTTTCCATTGCTAACTGTGCTGTGATTCTGTGATTTAATGAAGTACTTGGAATTTAATATAAACTAGTCTCGAGTAGTGAAATTTATTTATTTGTGCCAGAAAGGTTTCATTTCAAACTGTAGCTGTGTTGCTAGCAAATGATGGGAGCACTTATCAAGTAGTAATTAGAGTACCATTTCATATATGCTTTATTAATACATATGAAATAACTTCAGTATTTCTGTCTTAATAGTTGAATACTACAGAGTGCAAAATAGTATGTTTTCTCTTTCAGACAAGAACAGTTTAGTTGGAAGCTGAGCGTGAAGGAACCTTCATCAGGATGGAATTTGTAAAGCAGCAGCATAACCAGAGCAGTGCATTTATGGTTCTCTTGAGTGTGTAGCATCTTCTCCAAGCATTGTCTGGATTGGGAAGTTTTACTCTTTTTGGTGTGCAAGGAGACTGGAATAGTCTCCTTGTTTAAGAGGCCTGCTCTCACACTGCCAGCTCTGACACTGCCAGTTTCATATCACCCACTGTGGCTTTCTATATACAGTGTATCATTTATATACAGAACTGTACTTTCTTTATTAAGTATATTTTGAACAGCAGATGTTGAGTAAATGGTATTACCCTAGAAAATGGAAAAACCAAATGTCAAAGGAGAAATTTGCTCCTAATCCATGTCTCATACCACATCCCAGCCCTCAACCCAACAGATTGAAATTTTTCCTGGTGCTCTGAGACTTCTGGTCTATATTGCCATCAATTCTACCTGTTAATAGAGGCTGTTCCCTTTTTCTAAACTTCACTGGAGCGCATATTTCTTTAGCGATATTACCAAATAAATGCTTTACACTGAACTTAGAAAAATGTATTGCTTGTGGTAGTGTTGATGCTACTTGATATTAACAACTGACATGCACATTATGTTGTGATGAAAAAGGTGATAGAGCCTGTGGTAAGAGGAGAAAGTACGACTCAAGAATCCAAGAAGTAAACTTGCTGTTGTAAAAATACTGACTCCTAGTCTGATGTGTTTAGAGGTATTGTTAAATAAAGTTGTTTCTATGTTCTGGATTGTCTTCCTCCCTTCTTACAAAACAGTTACCTTGGGTTTTAAGAAAAAGCTCCACCTCTGTTTGACATCTTCCTTATAAAGAGAATTTGACAGGCTCTGAAAAAGCATGTGGGTGGTTGAAGAAGCTGTAATATATATAATGGCTGTGTCCGTCAGCAGATAAGAGGGAAGTGCTGCTTAATAGCCAAAGGTCTTTTCAAACTAAATTCTATGATCCTGTTACCACCTTAGCTACTGGCTGCCTGGAACCAGGCCTGGCTGTGTTCTGTCCATGCGTGGATTCCCTCCAGGGCTTGGCACTGGTGACTTCACAAACACTGCACAGGTAGCTAGATGGGCTGTAGGTTAGCTGTGGGAATCCAGGGCTTCCCTCTGGCTGCCCTGGCAGGTCTGGGACCCTGGCAGGGGTCAGGAACCCCCCTGGACAGAGCCCCGAGAGACACTGTCTGTGATCTCTGTCCATAGAGAGGAGTTTTCAATCTTACAAGATGAATTACAAGCTTTGAGTGTTTGATAAGAGTAATAATTAAGTGTGGCACGGGTGCAAAAGTAAAATTTTAGGTTTCTAGATTAGGGGTTCAGAGGGGACAAGATGGAAGAATTGGGTGTGTCTTGTCCTTTTCCTCCTTCTTCATGCCCTCCATGTTTCACTGTGGTGTTGGCATTTTTCTATTGGTTTAGGCTGGGGACACACTGTTCAATGTAGGTGACAGATATTGGCACATTATTGTAAATATAGTACACGTAGTTTCTGGTATATAATGTTTGTACCATCCCACTGAGGGCAGAGCCCCACACGCTGCCCTGCAGGACAGACCTGCAGCAGGGCAGCAGAACATGTTATAGATAAGCAAAAATAAACAACCTTGAAACCAGCACAGACGAATTATGGCTTCTTTGGCAACGGGGCAGAAAGACAGAGACTTTCCACAATCTCGGAATCAACAATACCCACAGATTCCGACAGTTAGCTACATGTAAGGATGTGGGTAAGATTGTGGCCTGTCTTAAGAAAAATTAAACTGCATTTTGTGTTGCTACTGCATTAACAGTTTGGGATCAAAAAATGGCATTTAAAAATTTTGAGTTTCCTGTGAAGACCTGGCCTCACATTTTGACTTACGTATAAAAGCGGAATCTTTCCTCCTTGTAGTTAAATGCAACATGATTTTTGTATTAAGTAGTAGCTCTTCTGCCCACTGGTTTGTGTTGGACAGTTAGGTCATTTTTAGTTAGGCTTATATTGGAAATCCATCATAATGAATTTGAAATTCTAGGTTAAATTCTCACAGCAGTAATTTACTGATTAATAAGGGGAAATTGAGAACATCAGGGTATTGTTATGAGCAGCCAGAAATACAGCTCTGTCTGTGTTTCTGTGACTTAAACCTAGGTATTTGCTGAAGATAATACAGTATTTCTAATGAATGGTGTTAAAGATCTCAAGATACCTATCAGAAGTTCTTGCCCATTAAGCCTGGAGAAATTCAGTGTCTCATGAACTTGCTAATCAAAAGACTTCTTTGTTTCACTTCCTAAAAGTATGTAATTTGGGCTTCTGAAGTTAGGTGCACTGTATTATAATTAGCTGAAATACAATGCAAGGTACAGAACCTTGCTTTCCTCTCCAGAGGAGTATGCCATAATTTTGTGCAGCACTGCAGAGCAGCCAGTATTCACACTTTAGAGTTGCCGATTATTACCACTTAAGCTCCAAAGGATAGCTTACTGCTCACAAAGGTTTGATGAAGTTTCTGGAATATCTTTCCTCTCGGTACTATAATATTTATAATATCATGAGCAATGTGATACACAGAGAGAGTTGGGCCTGTTCAGTCTCAGGAAGAATCAATTGATAAGGGAGCTCAGTGTCTGTGTCTGAGGGGAGGGTGTCAGTGGATGGATCCAGAATCTGCTTGGTGGTGCCGAGCAATAGCATGAGTCAACAAACTGATGTTCAATTAGTTCTACCTGAACATAAGGAGGAACTTTATGGTGCAGTGACAGAGCACTGGAAAAGAGAGGCTGTGGGGTCTCCCTCACTGAAAATACTCAAGATCCATCTAGATATGACCCTGTGCAATGTGCTCTGCAAATGACTGTGCCTCAGCAGGGAGGCTGGACCAAATGACCTCCTGTGGTCACTTCCAGCCTGACCCATTCTGTAATTGTACCTAGTGCTATGGTGTCTGGCAGTAGCATGTCAAATAATAAAATTGTTGCTGTGACAAAACATAAATTGCTCTGAAGTTATATACAGGATAACACATAGCTTTGCAGTCTGTGCTTTGTATGTTCTGTCTGTACTGAGCATACATCAGTCTGTTTTTATTGAAAAGCAAAGCTGAAGGAATGTTTGAATGTCACTAATTCACTGAGCATTGAAAAGTGCAAGTACAGTTCTGTGAATTAATTTCTACAGGTAATAGGAGAGAGTCTGAAGGGTGAAAACTACAAAATTAGTGGTTTGAGCCCCATTCCAGCCACTGTGAACAAAATCTACTCTACCCCAGCCAAAACAGACTGGGGGAAGATGGGATGAATAGGGACTAGTAAAATACGGGTTGTTGTGGCGCAGTCCTCCTCCTCCGTTACCCTGAGCGGCGGTGTGCAGGGCGGCGGGAGGGAAGGGAGAGATGGTTCGGTTCGGCCGTGCCCGCTGAGAGCGCTGCTGCCCCAGTTATCGGCGCGGGGACAGACCGAGGCGACTTGGGTGTAACGAGGTGGGTTCATTCAGTCAGCCCCAAGACCCTCCGGGGCGGGTGGACACAGCTTTTATACCAGAACTCAGGAGGGGGCAGTGCAGCAAAAGCAACCAAGGAGGGCAGAGCTGGGGAGGGGTTTAAGGTGGGAACACAAGGTAACTAGGGAATGTGGGCAGGGAAGGGGGCAGGGAAAGGGAGGATGGACAGCCTGGACGGGTGGGGGCAGGGAAGAGCCTGGGAAAACTGGAGGGGGGTAAAAGGGACCAGGGAAGGGGGGGGGGGGGTGGCGAACAGACACCGAACAAACAGTAAAAGGAAAAACCACACCTCAACATCTCTCCGTTTCTTTTTACAAAAAGGAGAGTTCTGAGGGTTAAACAAATTAACAAAGCATAAAAATTATATAGTAACATTACAAATTACTAAAAGGTAATAAATTGAAAGACATCAGATAAGGATAAACTAATCATAATTACAACACATGGGATAAAAATCTTCTTCACTTTAAAGCTTAAGATAAAATGTATAAAATTGTCATAAAGAAATTCTTCTAGATCAGGGGTAGAAGCAGGATTCCTGACTTGATCTGTTGCAACGCTTGTGATGTTTGGATTCTTGCAAAGCTGGAGCAGCGAGCAGCAATGTGGTTTCTCCAATTTGATTGTTTGATTGCGAAGTGGGCATAGTATTATGGGTCATAATTAAAGAGGATGATCTTTCCTTCTATAAAATATAACTCAGTCAAATAAGTTATTTCAAAATTATCAAAAGTAGTAAGGAAAGCTTGCATTGAAATACAAAGGGAACCTTGGGGAAGGTACACTTAAGGGATAGGATAGGGGAATCAGACAATCACTTGATTAGTGATTGTCATGATTGTAAAGGGGGATTGGTAATGGGTGGACCTGGGCGCTGCCATTTTAGGGGGAAAACAAAATGGCGGATTCCCGGTCCGAGTCTCCGGCTTCATCTTCCTCTGAAGAAGGTCCCCCCAAAAGGGGGGTGATCTCCTAAGAAGAAAGGTCCTCTGATGAGAGTGCCTCTGGCAATCCTTTCCCCCAGAGGAGGATCCAGAAGAAGGACTGGGGGATTGATCCAACCCCGCCTCCCAACAACAGGGGCTGGCCTCACTGCAGGATGGGGCAGGACCCTTGAGGAAGGGGTGGGGCTGGTGGGAAAACTTGGGCGGAAGAGAAGGGTCATGGCGGGAAAATGGGTTCCAAGTGACGTGGCCAGTGCCATCCTGGGTGGGGGTGCCGGGTACACTGCATCTCTCCCGGGGAGGCACAGCCAATGCCACCCCTGAGGGAGGATAACAGTGTCCGGCAGGGCGCTTGGGGCGGCTCGGCCACTGCCATCCCCAGGGGAGAAGGTTTAGGAGAGTCCGTGGGGAAAAGGGGATGGGGAGCTTCACAGAAGCCAAAGGGGAAATCTACAGGAGAGGGGCCCGATGTGGCTGGAAGTCGACAAAATGCGTTGATGTGAAGGGCCTCTCATAAGATACTAACAACTCTCCCATAGTTGACGTGTCGCCATCTACAATTCTGTCCCATTTGTGTCCTTTCTACCCTCCCTGCGCCCGTAGCCCAGAATAGGGATGAGAGGATAGAAAAGACGGCCTTCCGAGAAGAAGAAGAAGCCCTCAAATGTGGGTCCCCCCAAAAGAACGAGCAGGATTAGCTCCCCCTCGGAAAAGAAAAAATCAGCCCGCCTGCCAGGGACATGCAAGAATACAGCCCAAGTCTGGGCACGGGCAGTGGTTACAACGCAGAAAAAAAAAAGGGAAGCCCAGCCACCTGCCAGGGATCCTCCCTGCTCCAGTCCCACTTACCCTCCAGGAGTGGGCGGTGGTGGCTTGATTGTTTTCCTCGGATGATGGAAAAATTGCACTGAACTGGGGACGTTGTCCTCCGCGGTTTGGCCCTTCCAGGGACCTGGGTGTTCCCGTTTACCAAGGCTCGTCCCCAAAACCTTGGGTTCAGCCACTATCAGCCTCTGGTGGTCACCATGCAAGTGCCATCATCAATGAGCACTTAGATTAATTTCAGACAGAGAGTCTTTTATCAAGTCTGAATTACATTAATGGCTTGATAGTTTTGGTTCAGCCTTCAGTGTTGCATCATTTAGAAAAACTTTGGCAAAAACTACTCTATTGGTAGTGATGGCAAAACACTGCAGGGAGAGCTCTGTCTTAACCCCTGCAGTGTTTAAGTTCAGCTGGGTTAACTCCAGTGGGGCACTGTTTGGAGGTAGCTCTTCTATATGGGAATGCTTTTGGACCATCCTCCC